CAGAGGACTAATCAAGGTACACACACCATATTAGAGAGACACATATGAATCCTGGGAAGCATGAAGTATTTTACAACGGCAGAATAGGAGCAAGTCTTTCCCGTCAGCTGATGAAACCCCAGACTTCCTGGAGACTGTAATCACAGAGCTTAGAGTAAATCGATTTGCTTATAAATTCACACCAGTGGCAATTTTCTTCTTCATAGCAAGTTCTCTAGACTATTGGCATGGTCTGTTAGTTCCCCCAACCTATGTGAGCATATCTGTACACACAAGTAATTATATGGTAGGTACACACCGGGACATACACGCAGGCCACACACTATCAAAACTTTAAAAGTCAGCGCTTTCTCAGTGTGACCAAAGAAGGCCTTTGGGGGCTGTGTGTATCCCAGCTTGATCCTTTCTGGGGCTGCGGAAGGACTGCTTAACTGGAAAAGCAAGGTAGCTGCCTTGTGTCCACAATCACCCTCGAGTCAAAAAAACATGGATAAGATACTCTCCCTAACGGCAATGTTTTCACATAGCAGCAACGACTTTGGTTGGTTTCTTTTCTCCCAGCTAAACTTGGTAGGCTATTTTCTTTCGCTTAACATTAGCTCCTGCTTTGCAGAGATACTTTATAATTACTATTTTAATGGTCCCAGTGTTCACCATCATTTACCTGAATGTTTACCTATTGTTAGGATGGTAGTAGTTTCTATTTCTTCTCATTCAGGTTGATCTGAGCATTTTTTAAAATCTATGTTATTAATTTAAAACAGTACAGAGATGACAGGGCATCGCTAATCTACAGCTACAGGGTTTATATATTTACAACTTACATTCGATTATGAAATTTAATTCGAGAGAGTAATTAAGACATTTATATTCTACACAGCTCTACGACATCTAGATCTCCCCGAGCCAGGCAGGTCCAACCATACTTGCCGCTTTCCAGAGTATTTCCCCATGAAATCTAATATAGGTTATGGACTCCCACTGCTCTACAGGTAAGAGATTCACCAAAAGGACCAACACCTCTTGCTCTACGGGGTAACCTACCCAAAGAAGACATGTTATAAATGCTATTCAAGTCTTGCAGTCACTTCAAAATTCAGGGCAACCCTTAGTTTATGCACCAATGACAGGCATGGTCTAGGACCGCTGTAAGTCTCCCATAACCCATACTTGATACATGATATTAGAAGGCCAAGAGACTGACTCATTCATGTTTCAGATGCCCAACACTTTTATTATTGTTGTTGGCTTAAGAAAGGCCCTTGCTAAGTATCATTGGCTAGCCCAGAAATTATGTAGACCAAGTGGGCCTCAAACTTGCAGTGATCCTCCTGTCCCTGGCTTCTGTGTGCTGGAATCACAGGTACAGGCTACCATGCCTGGCCTGGAAGTCTACCACGGGTCATGCCAAGTGACAGATTTCTCTGCTGAGGGTAGTTCTTTAGTGAATGTTAGTCAAAGGGACTTAGAGTACAGGCCACCAGCTCTTCCCTTCAGAGTCTCAACATATAGTATGAGGATAGGAACGGAGTCTCCCCAGCAGGCGAGGGTATCTTGAGGGTCAAAGGAGAAGATGGGGGTGAAATGTACAGCCACAGGCTGGCATTTGTTAGCATACAGAAGTGTATGCATAGGGTCTAGACACTCAAGAGATGCCTCAGCAAGTTAGGCACATGCACTGCTCTTACAGAGGACCCAAGCTCAATACCCAGCATCCATGACAGGCAGCATCCAAAATCCTTTAACTCCTGCTCCAGGGGGTTCCAATGCCTCCAGCCTTTTGGAGCAGCTCCACTCAAGAACACAAACATGTAATAAAAATTTTAAAAAGACAATAAAAATAAACCTTCAAACCTGCCCATAGGCACAAGGCCCTAGGGTCAACCCCTAGGCCTGCCCTCCAAAAGGAAAGGACTTATTTATTATTTATCATTGTTTTCCCTAATAGGGGGATTGTGTTTTACACACTTAGCAGCTCTGTAAAGCATGAAGAGCCAAGAGTTTTGTTTTTTACTATTTTGCTTTTACCACCAGCAATTAATTCCTCTGATTTGTTTTATGAGTTTGATGGTTGGGTCTAGCACTCAGCAAACCAGCGGAGTGATGTAAGAAAATTATTTCAGTGCAGTTCCTGGCAAATGCTGATGATGAATAGTGAGGCAGGACAAACTTACTCAGACACACATTTTTCAGGACTGGCAGGGAAAAGGCTGAAAAATTACTAGTAAATTGCTTTTTGTAAAAATGCTCTCTCTTTCAAATTTCCCCTAGTATGAAGGTCTCCCTCGGAATGATGGTACAATGCACTCTGACACACCAGATGGCCAAGCAGCTAAAGAACAGACACAGATAACAGTTGGGGTTAGGATTTAATTTTTTTATTATGGCCCCCAGTTTCCAATTCTCTTTGCCACACCAACTTTTTTTTTTTTTTTAGTATATGTCTTCTTTTTGTTACGAAAAATGTTCCTGAAAGATAGCTCTTATCTGTGCTGGCAAGCTTGCCCTGCCCCACCCTCAAGGCATAATCCCCTCCTTCAATGTATGAGCCTTGATATTCATGTATCATATCTCTAGTCTATTCTATTCCCTCTAGTCTATTCTATTCCTCTCTAAAACTGTCCCAGAGGTTGAGTTTCAGATTACATAGGTCTGCAGAAATCCTCCGCACGTACCTGAGATCCTTGATTCTGAAGACATAACCCTGGGACAATGCCATGGAAGCCTTGGGTAGTCATGGTTGGAAAGGCTAATGCATGGGTGTCATGATGGTGAAGCTCACTTGGTGACATTGCTGGTTGTCACACTGGGAGGAAGACGCGCTTCTTTTCTCTGTTTGGGAGAAGCCAGGGCTGCTGGCTGCGGCTGCTGAGCGTTCTACACTGCACGGAGACATTTCTGCATTAGCAGGGCATCTGCCTAACCTACCCATAGAGCAGCAGCTGAGTAACCCTGGTCTAAATGCAGCCAAAGGCTGCAGAGATGATTTTAGGGTATCCCCAAACACAACTACCCATTGGTTTTTAGCATTATCATGAAGAATTGGGAATTGCCCATGTCTTTCATGCTGTAAACACCAAACTGGGGCTTGTAAGGTAGCAGAGGCATAACCCATGGCAGAAGCAGTGGGTCGGCGATACCCCTAAGTAAAGGGCTTGGAATTCCTCTCCTCCTCTCCTTCAATGAGTCATTATGCTTACTGGCCTTCACTATTAAGGACGGGAGAGGCACTGGACCTGTGTGTTGGACATCTAGGTCTGTTGGAAACTTTGTCAACTCAGGGTTTGGTGGGTCAGTGCCTGCCTGGGCTTCTCACCTGCTTTGTGAGGTTCAACAGTTGACATACCGTACCTCCATGTCATGGGAATGTTGACACCAATTCCTGACCACATACGTGGAGCCACTCTACAAATATCTCCAATGCCATGGTGTATCCCAAGAGTCTCCTCCAGGTCTCTGGGGTAGGGTTTTACCTACACTACCACCGCTGTCAACATCCTTGTAAACCCGTTGCTCAGGACAGAGCTTGATTTCTGTGTACTCTGGGCTAGATAATCAGCTTTTACTGACCTTGGCTCGTCTCTGTGACTTCACATTCCTGACCTCTTGACCTCTGACACCAGAGCCTCCTGTAAAGCCACATCCAAAAAAACTGGCCACTTTATTCTCAAATGTCAGGACTCCAGAGAAGGCTAGTTCACAAAGAGTAGGGGTAGCTTGATCTTTGGCTTGCTTTTCTGTTGCCAAACCCAAAACTGGACCTAGGCCCTTTTACATACTGAGAAAATGTTCTACCGTGGAGCTTTATCTCACACCTACTTTTACTTTATTTTGAGACAAGGGCTCATTCATCTGTCCTGGCTGGCCTTAAACTTTCTCAGTAGCCGAAGCTTTCTGTTTCAGCTTTCTACTTAGCTGGAATCAGAAGTTTGCACCACCAGGCCCAGCTTCACTGTATTTTCTTGTTTCAAGTGCGGGCCCCAAGAAAGTTCTTCGGTGTGCACTGAGCAGCTGCGAATCTGCTTATCTAATAAAGGGAAGGCACTTACCCTCCTGGTATTCCCCAGAGAATCATTGGCCACCTGCATCTCTTTAGCTGCATTTAATAGCTCAGACCAAGATGAATCTGCATGATTAACAAAAAGCCTCCTGATTTTATTTTCTTTCAGCATTTAAATGCTAGAACAACTACCATTGTTGTCATTTTTTTTTTCCAGGGGTTGTGATCAAAACACAAAATTTGATTCTAGAATGAATAATTTATTTTTTAAGTAATTTCCAAATACCATTCTCCCTGGAATCACAGAAAAGAGATGGCCTTGCTGTTTTTGTAGACTCAGGGAAACCCACGGTGTGCTACATGACTGGTGTTGCTAGAAGCCATGGACTCCACGCCATGACTTATCCTCAGAGTTATCCTTGTGGAGGATATGGCTGGCTCACCACAGAGTCCATGTTGACTGACCCTGGTTCCTGCCTGTAAGGTCGTCCCTCCGAGTGTCTGTCTACTCAGGACCTAGAATCTTCAGTAAGTCTTTAAAACCATTGGATTCCAATAATAGATTAATCACGTCATCCTCAAAAGTAAAAAAAAAAAAAATCCGAAACTAAATAAGTCGCATTTCGTAAACCATCTGCCTAAGGAGTGGAGACACACATGTGAAAAGATAATTTGCAAATCTGACAAGGCAGCATCATTGGGCCGCTTGATGACTGTAGTAAAGCAGGTTTGTCTAATGGGGAAACAAGGATCACTATCAAACAAAAAACGAGTGTATCCCACATGGAAATGTAAGCAGGCTTTAATATTGAGAAGCATTTCATGCTGTGCCTGCCAGCAACTCCCCGCCTGTCTGATTTTCCTTAACGTAAAGGCCGACCTCACCTGTTTAAAAATAATTAGGAAGACGGCAGCTGTAATTTGGCTGGAAGTCCATTCGGCCGAGTTTGCATGTGTGCTTCTGACCCACTGACGCCTCTGTTGTTGTCTCTGCATGCAGGCACCATGGTCAGCAAGGACTCTGGCAGATGCGTACTCACGACACCAGAACAGGAAGTGGAGCCAGCGGCCTGCCTGGCCCTGGAGATGAGATATGCCCTGGACCCCAACCGACAGATCAAAAAGCGCAACAAGGCCCTGCAGGTGCGCTTTAAGGATATCTGTGAGGCCCAGAATGAGCAGAGGGACACACAGCTGTCTTCAGGACCTCTGGGGGAGAAGCGGGAGGCCAAGGCTGTGTCCTGTAGGGCGGCGTACCGTAAGTATATGACAGTGCCAGCCCGCCGATCCATCCCCAATGTCACCAAGAGCACCGGTGTGCAGACCTCACCGGACCTTCGCAAGTGTTACCAGACATTCCCGCTGGACCGAAAGAAAGGCAGTCTCAAGGGCCTGCCAGCTGCAGATGCCTTCAAAAGCCAGAACAATGGCTTTCTAGCAGATTCAAAAGAAAAGAGTGAGGCTGGACCCATGGAGGACCCACGGCCTTGCAGTGCAGGAAGGATTCACAAGACCACAGCATTGGTTTTCCATTCCAACGAGCATGTGAATGCGCTGGACCAGCCTTCTGGGGTCAACTGTGCAGAGCTCTGCAAGACTCCAGGCGTGCTTGGCTATCCTGAAGCTCTATTGCAGAACTCTCGGCCTCCCTCTGAGGAGCCCATCCCCCAGCTGCAGGGGAGAGCTAAGCCCGACAGGGGCACGCCAGACTCAGAGGAGCCCACCCCACTCACCCATGGAAGGGTGTTTAAAACAGAGGTCGCCACTGTGTACCCGCCTGCCATCAGTACCAGGCCCCCTGAGCCTGGCTTGTCAAACTCTGCTGCTGCCAGCCAGTGGTCTCTCTGCCCTGCGGATGAGGAGCAGAGGAGGGCTGCTCACATCAATGGACTGCAGGCATCCACAGGTTCTGCTCTGGCCTGCTCACCCCCGGCGCAGTGCCTGTCCCCAGAATGTAGTGAACAACCCCTGCGGAACCAGCCTAGCCCCATAGCTGGGACAGAGGATGAAGAACACCAACAAATTGTGCCTCACACAGAGGTGGTAGACCTCAAGGCCCAGCTGCAGGTGATGGAGAACTTAATCAGCTCTAGCCAAGAGACCATCAAAGTGCTGCTGGGAGTCATTCAGGAGCTGGAGAAAGGAGAGGCCCACCGGGAAGGGTATGTATGCTGACTATCCTATTCCCTGCAGGCTCACCACTCCCAAGCCCATCACTAGCTCCTATGTCCCATCCCTAAGGAGTCTATCTAATGCCAGCATTTCTGTGTCAGGGTTGCAGTTTGAAGAGCTAAGCCAGTTACAAGGGTCACAGGTGTGTTGAAGGCCAGGGTCTTCATTGCCTCCGACATTCATTCCATTGGTGAGTGTTTACCCAGCTGGCCTTGGGTTGCAAGCTCTACCTGTCTACTCAGTGAGTTGATGGATCTTCCTTGTGATCTAATCAGATTAATGTTTCTGATCTTGATGAACTGTAATGCATGTGCCAGTTCACAATATCTAAATAAGAGGCCACTTGACTCTTGGAATACCATTATCATTATAGAAGGAGAGGTAGGGGGAAATAAATCAAATGGGATTAGGAAAAATAAATTCTAGAAAGAGGTAAATGATGCCATTGGGATGGGCATTCTGGACCATATAATGTTTGTGTAATAGACAGTCTTTGGTTTTTATTCTTTTCCTAGAGCACACAGAGGCAGAACCCCTCTTTAGACAAGCCCTATCTGTAGATGATTAGGAGAAAGACACTACACCCATGACTGGTCCTGAGTGTCCTTTGGACTATAGGACAGTCTAACATCAACAAGGGTTTGTTGGACTTGACCAGCTGCTGAGCGTGCAAGCTAGGAAGCAAATCTCTCCCAGCCTTCACTGTAGGCAAGGATGCCAGGGCTGGCTCTGTGCATCTTCAAAACAGTACCCATGGCTTGCCAACCTTGGTCTGGTCTGACAAGTCTTCTGTTTTCCAACCCCTTGAAACTGCTTCATCCACTCCATTCTAAGTTCTGGAGGTTGGATGAGCTTTCCTGTCTGTGTGACTGGTCCCCTGTACTCTGTGGGTGAAGTGAGCTGGCAGCAGCATGACAAAGGGAAGCCAGGCAATACATTGTCACTGCAGCAGAACACCCTAGACTAAAAGCTCCTGTAGAGGATTGCTGTGATTGATTCAGACAGTTTGCTTATCACAAGCAGTGGAGAAGAAACAGCCTCTGCCTTCCAAAGCGAGAGGTGAAGCCAATGAAATGGTTTCAATAGCAAGGCACCTGGTACTTGTCCCAACCTTGACTTTGGCTGTTCTACCTTGGAGCAGATGGCCTGTCTACAAATGGGGATACTTACTACCAACGCCCCCTGTCCGACTGACACAGTAAGGTTCCAGTTGCCATGACCACAAAAATAAGGACTAGCCTAATATAATCTGATAGGATGCTAGTAGTCACTCTAATACCGTGGAATTGCAGAAAGCTTGTTCAATACTGCAATATCTCCGTTTTCATGCATTTCACTCATTTGTTCTCGAATCTGTACACATCCAAAAGTCACACACTGGGCAAGAGGGACTTAGGAATTCGCAAAAAAAGAGAAGGTCACAGGAACCATTTCTAGACTTTGATATAGCTTGTAATAACGGGAGCCAGACAGCAACATAAAAGGATGTCAGCAACACCAGGTTGGAAAAAACAAAACAAAACAAAAAAACCTCATCAACTGGTATAAAGCTAGATGCATATAGTATGGTAATGTGCATACCCCACTGGGAGTCACACTCAAACAGAAACATCTATGAGCACCCTAGGAAAGAAAAACTATGCCTATAGCTAGGCGCTTCCTTGTGTTATCAGAAAAAGCATGGAACTTTATTTCACTGGCGTCTTTTAGCTTCCTAGAGGCTCTCTGTACCCAGCCAAGTGGGTTCAAGTCCTATAACATATGTCTGGATGGGAGCTCTGGCTCTGGTGACTTGGGCCAGGGCACTACCTCTCTGTAGCTCATCTCTGCACCTAGAAAGTGGGATCTTTGATCATCATGCAATAGAGAGTGAGAGTTACAAAGGCAACTCTCAGTTATGTTCTTCCCAGTGACAAATGCTGAGCTAGATAATGTCTGCAAGTGTTTAAGTATTGGTCTTACTGATTAATGGTTTTGGATAGGAGAAAGAGGGTCTGAGGAACACTTAGGGTCCTATGTCTGAGTCCATTGTAATGAATACAATCCCATATGTTGAGCACAAAGGCTGATACTCAACATTGCCCTGGAAACCCTGGGATTCTTTGTTGAGTAGAGTGGCTTCTGGCTACCTGTGCCCAATGAAACTCATAAATTCACATTAGTTGCAGTTGGTTATGCTTGACCATTCACTCCCCAGTCATGCTGGCCAGGATTTAAGAGCTTGGTAGTGCCAAACAGAAGAGAAAAGGACTCCTGTCACAAAAAGCCTTTCACCCTGGTACCCCAAAGTTTGTGCAGTGCCATACCCATGTTAGGGTTGGCACCTTATATCAAGGCCAAGGATGTGGTCCCCTCTCTCACCTTTAAAACAAACCTCTGCTTAGGTCATTATCCATACAAGGGCAAGCTCAGGATCTCAAGTCAGTTCCACAGTATGGCAGCCGCACACATCAGTTCTAGAACACTCATTCCCACCCACCTCAGGGAATCCACTGTATGAATGTAACAGGGAATCAAGTAGTTCCAAAGCCCAAGGCTACCTTGACAGTGGTTCTTCCCACTCCAGGAACAAGATCATTAATTTGACTAATATTTACACTTCCCACTTCCCTTGTCCATGTGGGACTAGTCCAGAGTGCAGCAGCCTGTAGGGGACAATGCAGAAGCTATGAGGCTGGAATCCCTGAGGAGTCCATAGAGACTGGAAGGCCAGTCATAGCCAGTTCCACTGTGTCACCTGTAAGCACTCTGGGGAAGGAAAGTAGCTGCCCATTTCCCTGGTGTAAATACTGCGTTGTCAGGCAATTGCATCAGCTCCCAAGCCCTGAAAATAGAAGTGTCTGTTGCTCTGATCACCTGAGCTAACCTCTTTGGTCCTGAGGGAAGAAGATAGAGGTTCTTAGGACTTATGTACTTCATGGAGGCTAGAGATGATTGTTTTGGTTGTAGCCCAAGTTAAAACAACAGGAAATGCATTCTGCTTTATGCTGATTAATTTTTAATATATTACAAACTGTATCTCTCTCTCTCTCTCTCTCTCTCTCTGTGTGTGTGTGTGTGTGTGTGTGTGTGTGTGTGTGTGTGTTGTGTGAGTTTGGGGGTTAAGGGCACAAAGGACAACCTTCAGCCATCAGTCCTTTCTACTATGACATGGATCATAGGGATAGAATGTAAGATACTGGGCTTGGTGGCAGGTGCCTTTGCCCATCAAGCCATCTTGCCATCATTGTATGTATCATTACATATTCACTTTCTGTGAAGGGACAAAGAATTAAAGAATATCCAAAGTTAAAATATCCAAAGTTGTCCTTAGGAAATAGTCTCAAAGCTATGGGTTACTCACTGTAAGACACCTATGAAGCAATGGACTAATGTCAAGGCTCCTACTTACCTATCATGCCAAGCAAAGTACAAAATGGCTCTGGAAAAGAACCATCACTATTAAGAAGTATCTCCTAATGAAGTGGGCCCACTGGAGCCACGACTGCATCTATGTGACTATCCTATATACACATCCGCATAGTGTTCTCGGAGCTAGAACTGTGCTTTTGGGGGCCACAGGTCTTCTCTCGCGTTAATGTCTGGATGGTGTGAGGGGAAAGCGACGATCTTTACATCTGATCAGGAGTCTCTAAATATCTTAGGCTGTAATTAGTGTGTTATAACTTTGATAGGGCTTTTCATCATCCAGGATGTCAGGCACGCTCTTTCTAATGGCTTTCTCTCTATGGAGCAATGAGGGCATCACCAGATAGCCGCTTCCAGTCCCTTTCAAGTGTTCTTCCTGAGAGACTCTTCCATTAATTTCGTTTGCCTGTATGCATGCCTGAAAGGCTTGGGCAGAGAAAGGTCTCATCGTAGGCAACCGAGCTTCAGTTCGGTCTTCATCAAGTAGGAGTGGTTGAGGCTTATTAGGTATGTTTTCTAGGAACCCCCTGCCTAGAGAGCACACAGTGGGTACAGGATAAAATGGTAAGACCAATGGACAGCATTTAAGAGGATGCCTTCTGTAAGGAAGTGGTTGTGGAAAAATTGCCTCACAATCATGCTTTTTAGTCCCCTGTAAAAACGTTTGGGCAATTCACGCAAATCACTCTGCTTTATGCAGCGCAGGCGGCATTTGCTCACCCGGCTGGCATGAATGCCAAGAATTACCCTGCCTGTTTCAGTGTTCTCAGTATTATTCTGGTCGCTTCTCAAGAAGTGCTAGGTCACAAAGGTACCTGCATGACTGATGTATTTGTTAAAGGTTGAGAATGGGGCAAATGGGATATGGAATTAAAAATGCAACCAGTTCTTGCAACAGTGGAAATTCTCTGTAGCCACTATGGGATTCCTGAGCTGGAAACTCACTGACCAGCTGCCTGAAGAGCCTCACTGCTCAAGGGCATTGCAGCCCCAGCAGCACCCTGTGGGGAGACAGTTCTTCCTGCCTCCCAGCTTACCCATCCCTTACATTAGAGCAGTGGCTCTCAACTTTCCTAATGCTGCGACCCTTTGATACAGTTCCTCATATTGTAGTGATCCCCAACCATAAAATTATGCTCATTTTTACTTTATAACTGTAACTTTGCAACTGTTATGAATTGTAATATAAATATCTGATATGCAGAATATCTGATATGATATTCTGTGAAATAATATATGATAGGAACCCTGTGAAAGGATCATTTGACACCCCACAAGAGGTCTTAACCCACAGGCTCAGAACCACTTGCTCTAGAGACTTAATAAGTCACTGTCTCTTAACAGCCTTCCTAGTCAGAGAAGACCAGAAACCCATGGGAGAAGCTATATTAAAAAATGTTAAACACAAGGCCAAGACCAACCATTCCCAAGACTGACAGCTTCTTCACTGGCCAGGTCCTTGTGAGCATCTCCCTCAGACATGGGAAGTGGGGGTCAGGTGAGGAGGCCACCCAGAGCATACCAGAACTTGAAATATAGCTAATAGAAAAGCGGGCATGAAGTGCTGGACCTTTGTGGCTAT